TAGGTCGCTCTATGGCCTTAAGCAAGCATCGAGGCAATGGTATAAGCGCTTTGACACTTTTATGACTTCACATGGCTATGTCATAAGTAAGTACGACAGTTGTATTTATTTTCATTTCCTTCATGATGACTCCATTATACAATTGATACTTTATGTCGATGACATGCTTATTGCTTGTAAGAGTTTGCATGAGATTGCTAAGTTAAAGTAGGAATTCAGCATGGAATTTGAGATGAAAGATTTAGGTGGAGCAAAGAAAATCTTGGGTATGGAAATTCAAAGAGATAGGCACAATGGGAAGTTGTGGTTAACCCAAAAAGGGTATATTGAGAAGGTATTGACCAAATTCAATACGAAGGAAGCTAAGGCAGTGAGTATACCACTAGTTCAACACTTCAAACCATCTCTTCTACATTGTCCAATGATAGAGGAAGAACGTGAGGAGATGATACATATACCATGTGCCAATGCAGTTGGATGTCTTATGTATGCTATGGTATGCACCAGACAAAACTTATCTCAAGCAGTTAGTGTTGTGAGCAGATTTATGGCTAATCTGGGGAAAGAGCATTGGAATGTTGTAAAGTGGATTCTGCGCTACTTGAACGGTACCCAAGATATAGGTTTACTATTTCAAAATGGTTTGAAAGGAAACAAAGTGGTTGGGTATGTAGATTCAGATTTTGTGGGTGACCTTGACAAAAGAAAGTCTACTACGAATATATTTTCACTCTTGGTCAAGGTCCTATTAGTTGGAGATCTACATTACAAGATACGGTGGCTCTCTCTACTATAGAAGCAAAGTACATGGCAGCAGTAGAGGCAGCTAAGGAAGTTGTATGGTTGAGAGGATTGGTTCAAGAGCTTGGAATTGATCAGAAGAACATTTGTGTTCACTGTAACAGTCAAAGTGCTATATGTCTTGCAAAGGATTCAGTATACCACTCAAGGACTAAGCACATAGATGTGCGGTATCATAGGCTCAGAGATTTTGTAGCAAATGGTGACATTTAATTGGAGAAGATTTCTTCTCAAATGAACATAGCAGACATGATGACCAAGCCATTGCCAAGGGAGAGGTTCAGGCACTACCTAAATGTTTCAAACATACAGTAGTGCTAAGTTGTGAAGGCCCCAGGAAAAGGAGGTATTCTAGATAGAGAAATGCAGGCGGGTGAAGAAGAGAGTTGAATAATTTTTTTTTTCTTTTCGAGTCAAGGTGAAGAATGTTGGAATTGACTAAAAAATAAAGTTAGTTACAGAAAGTGGCTATTAGTGCATGGTAACCATAAAGTTAGTTGTAGAAAGTGGCTATTAGTGCATAGTAACCACAAAGTCAGTTATAAAAGGAGTGGCTATCTTGTATCTTCTATTTCTTCTTCTTCTTTTACAATTTTAATGAAAAATCTCTTTGGAGTGTATTCTCTTCCTGCGGACGTAAGAGGATTTTCTCTGAACCACGCAAATTCTTGTGTCTTTGTCTCTATTTACTTGAATTTTTGTTTACCGTTTTGTGTATTCTCCATTTTTCTTCACGGGTTGATTTAGGATACATAATCCAATGTTTCTACACCAACAATGTTCCCATAGCTGTTTGGTTCATAGTTGGAATCAAAATCAGAATCCGAATCCGCATCAGAATTAAAATCCCTAGGAATCAGAATTGAAATGGTCTATTCCTATAGTCTGTTCGGTTCATAGTCATAATCAAAATCCAAATCAGAATTAAAATCCTTTAAATCGGAACTGAAATGGTATTATTCCCATAGTTTGTTTGGTTCATAGTTGGAATCAGAATCCGAATTCAAATCGGAATTAAAATCCCTGAGAATCGGAATTGGATTGGTCTTATTCCCATAGTCTGTTTGGTTAAGAAAATAATCGGAATGGGAATTGGAATAAGAGGGGTATTTGAATGGGATTAGGTTTCATTTCCATCCTAATACGTCCTATTGCTTCAAAATGAATAGCAAAAACAAAAACCAGCACTTGGTAACGTACCTTGATTGTCCGTATGGGTATTTGAATCTTTCTTAAACCACCACTTAGTAGCACTTCAAAAAATACCAGCACTCAAGAATAAGCTCGATGTATTCCCTCTGGCATAAGCAACTAAGAAAGACAGACAGATAATGAGAGGTGGAGATACAGAGAGGGGGCAGCAAGAGACGGAGAGAGCCGGAGAGAAAAATAGAGGAAAATAGACGGAGAGAGGGGGCAGCAAGAGATGGAATTCATTGAGTAGAGGGAAGACGCTGTGGGAGTGAGGGTGGGAGGGAGTTAAAACGAAGGGGAAACTAGCAGGAGAGAAATTGAAAGCTTCTTCTGTTTATTTTCAAATCAGATCTCAGGTTGGCAACAACCATATAAGATCTGATGACATGTATAATTTGAATTATTGAACACACCGTCAGAGTTTTATTGGTTTTTAATTTCTCATTTGGCTCTGATTATGATTTTCCCTAAAATTTTTATAAATGCTGCCCACCCTTATTCTTTTAAGTCATAAAAATACCCTTGTTAGGACATCACCACTTCCAGGTTTTTTTTGTCGCTGGGATGTGCCCTATAGTACAGCAGCAGAAGGAATTAATGGCGTCTAAAAATTTGATGCGGACTTCGATTTTGCCTTTTGGTTGCAGATGCTGGAGGCCATGGATGCATCTCTCACCTTACAACCCTCCTCATCGTCTTCAATCCTTGCATCACCTCCGCTAATGGAATCTGATTTCACCCTCAACAACAACAATGCCTTGAGTTTGACGAACCTTCAAGACTTGGAGGACCTTTTAAGTGTTGGGTTCACGATCAAAAGTTTACTTGAGAAGACAATTAGGGGCTCCCTCCCTATAGCCAATAGGTTGTGTTGAAGTTGAACATCAACAACTTGATCCATGAATTTGAGCTTGTCCGGACGGATTTCCTGAAAGACCTCTGGGGTCACGATCTAGGGTGGCCTTTTTTCTCTTCAAAGAACAAGAAGAAACAGTCAAAGAAATAACGGTAATATATGAAAAAGACAAAGAACCAAAGTGCTCGACGCTTTTATCAGTGCTATTTCGTGTCGTGTGTATTACAATTTGAAAATTTTCAAAATAAAAGCAAAATATCAGTGCTATGCCATGGGTGCCCAAAAGATATTCCGAAAGTTTGCCTTAATTTTGTTTTTGTTTCACCTCCATGTAGCTCTTTAGGATTCCTCCTCTCCTTAGTTGTATCTAGCGAGCTATTGCCGTTTCTCTCTTAATAGTCTGATTAAAATGGCTTAACAATTTGTGAAAGGGTATTTTCCTTGTAGAAGACTGAGACAGAAACAGAGATGGACATGAAGACAGAGACGGAGATGAAGACAAGTGGGTTTTTCTTGTTTATAGTTTGACCAAGGTTCAAAAAATCATTTAGTATAGGCTGATACGATACTCCGATACACCCTCTACACCCTTACAGAGGGTGTATGGAGGTTTTGATCGGTTCAGGCGGTGGGGGAACCTTAAATCGGTCCCCCTAACCAGATTTGAGAAAAAAAAAGTAAAAAAAATAAAAAATAAAACAGTACTGATACTGCCCGATACACCCCTACCAGCGTATCAGGCAGTATCGATATTTAGAACCTTCACTTTGACACCGTAATAAAAAGAGTATTTTAAAAATTTTAAAAAACATATCAATCACATGATGTCACATATAAATATAGTGTGACAAAAAGTTAATGGCAAAGGAGGTCTTAGACAATTGTAAGAAAACTTAAGGATACTTTAAGATAAAACGTAAACAATAAGGGTAGAATTGGTCAATTTCCTAAACCATAGGGATACTTTAAGAAATTTGCCTTTCTAAAAATGTGATCACCATCTTCATTTTCACTACAGAAACAACAGAGTCCATCAATGGTAAGCCCTCTAGAAATGAGAGAACTTTTGATGGCCAATGAGCATTTAAAATCAAGAAAAGGAAAGTATTGATTTTTTTTTTTTGGGTGGGGGTGGGGGAGTTTAAGCCCCAAATCTTATTGAGCACTAAATTTGGCCCTTAGCGCCCTCAACATCACATTAGCTTCCTTGGAAGCTGACTTGATAAAAAGAAATTTCCTTTGGGATTACATCTCCAAATCAATTTATTCTCACATGTATCGGAAGGAAGGAAAATAGACTTAATGTTATTCCAAATTTGTCTCGACACAAGCTACAAGCCTTAATCTTCCCTCCAAACTTTTCTTTCATGATCAATGAAATCACAAACATGGAGATCATTATCCTCACTGGTGGACTCTCTGTTTATCAATTTCTCAATAGGACTTGGATCAATCCATTTATCTTTCCAAAATTTGATTTTTCTACCATTACCAATTATCCACCCGATGCCTCTATTAAGTTAAAATCTAGAATTGGGAATACCTCTCCATGCCCAAGATATTCCATTTTTTGGATTAAAAATCATTTTCAAGTATTTCTGGATCACCACTTGCACCCAAAATTTTTACTTATCATTTAATATTTTCCATCCTAACTTAGCAAAACAGACCTCGTTAACCCAATAAAGATTTTTTAGGCCCAAACCACCCCATCTCATCCCAATTCATCAAATGAATGGACTTTCTTCCATTACTCTTAGACCACAGGAAGTTTCTTTGACTTTTATTTATGTCATCAATAATATTATTTCGAATTTTAAATGATCTCATGTTGAACTAGGGTTAATTTTTCTCGGAGATCAGATAATAATTTCTTGGATACACAACCACTAATTATTGTTACACCAAATATGTGCACAAGCTGAATGAAGTTTTCGCAAGGGTTAATTTTAAATTAAGGATTTTCGCGAAACTTAATAACTTTCCCTCAACTTTCTGTTTCTCTCTTATTTTCTCTCAAATCAAATACAGCATCAGTGAATACAATAATTTTACTTAGGCCAGTATGCAGGACGACAAGATATAGGCAGGACCCCATTTTGGGTTCCAAACCCACCGAAAGACAAGTATTAATCCCCAACACAGAAAGTTGCAAGAAATTTGACAATAGTTTCTAACCCGAATAATACTCCATGTTGTAAAGATTCTTTACCAAAAAAAAGGTTTGTTTTTTAACCCAAAATGGAATACGCAGTTTGGTTCCTAGAAAAAGAGATATTTCTCTTAAAAAATAAAGAATTCATTCAATATAAACAAGAAGAAATAATATATATACAAACTATTGTTGTCACAACTGGAAAAGGATTCAGAGGGAGACTAGTAGTCGTCACTGTTGTTTGGTATCATAAGCAAGGATTCTTTTCTCCAACTGCACTCCACAGATGATCCAGGAGAAAAGGGATCATTACAACAAGAAAAGCTTAATAGTCATTATTATTTAGGTCCTAATGAATATTTAACAGTGTTAAAGCTAATTCTAATGCAAACTCATAATTGTTCACAGAAAGTCATGCCATATTAAGCATCTAATCTAATCTCATAAAAAAAGACCAAACAAAGTAGAATGACAACTACTGAGTTGTTAGAAATCATAGCTATCAAACAAAACACATGTAGAAACATAAATATGATATTAGAAGAATTGGTGTACAATATGGAACGAAGAACAAGGAATATGGCAAAAAGTAAATCAAATAAACATAAAAAGATAAAGACCAACCACATGTATGTTCATGTTTAATATGGTCTCATTTAAAAGTTTGAAGCTAAGAAAATTCAGCATATTTTATATGTAAATACGTGTATAGTATATTTTTAAATTAAAGACTTTCTTCAAAAAAGTGTCAGTATATATACAATACACACTACACATGAAGCATACCATAGTTCGTGCTCTCAGCAATCTCTGGACTTGTTACAACAAAACTCCATGGTCCCACATATTCTAAGATGGTTGCTCTGGATAAATATAATATAGATCCAGATATAATCTTGACAGGGAGGCGGAGACAATTAGTTATTTGGAAGCAATTGAAAGGAGGTGGTGGGAGGAGAAATGTAAAGGTAATGTGAAGAAAGGGGGTAAAGGGTGGAAGCAGAACAGGGACATGTTGAGATTGGCGTGGAGGTTGAATGCCACAGCAGGGAAGGGGGAGGGGGGAAAATAGAAGGGGAGGGAGGAAGGGAAGAGGGTTTCAGGGTTGTTAGTGTTTAATGGATCTGTCTATTTTGTCTTGGAATGTTCGGGGCTTGTGCTTTGGGCGTAGGAGAATGGTGGTTTGTAATCTACTAAGTGGAAATCAGAGGTGGTATTCTTCCAAGAAACAAAGTGGAAGTAATGGATTGCAGATATGGTAAGAAGCATTTGGGGTCAAGGTCAGGTGAGGTGGGTTAGTAAGGCAGCTAGCTAGGGGCAGTGCAGGAGGTTTGTTGACCTTGTGGGGCAGGTCTAAATGTAATTTAATTTCTTCTCATGTTGGTGAATTTACAGTCTCAGTAGTGCTGGAAGTGGAGGGGGGGGTTCAAGGTATGTTCACTAATGTTAGAGTCGACAGATCAGGGGTATTTTGGTCTTTTGGTTTATCTAATTAGAAGTGAAAGGTCTGTTTTATTCAAGTTTAAGTTGTGTCCCATCACTTGTAAGGGACAATACTGTCTTTCTTGTAACTCAGTTTATTTAATATAAATACAAAGTGGGTCGACTGGTGTGGTGACTTTTCCTCAACTGGTCGAACCCTTCTTCTTCCTCTTATTCTTCTCTACTTCAAATCTAGAACTGAATAGAATTATTCACATGGTATCAGAGCAATAAGACACCAGTTTTCTTTTCTTTTTTCTTCTTTTCTCATTGCCCTTTCTTCTTCCTGAGTTTGCCGCCAGCCATATCAGGTTTCTTTATTTTTCTCCTAGACTGATTGGAAGCTCGACAAGGGGCCAAAAAAGGAGTGGTCATTTTTTGCTTTTGGAGGTAAATATGCCTCCAGTTGCTGTGGTGGTGTTCGTTGAAGTGGTGTACTAGATGCCCTCTGTTCTGTGGTACGAAGAGGGCTGTTTGTGGACAGGTATGAACAGATTTTTTTTCTCGCCCATTAGTGGACAGCGGCTGTTGTGTTTTGGTCTAGAATACATTTCTGTAGTGGTGTGAATCGATAAGTATGCATATCAGTTCCTTTTTCTTCTGTTTATACTTGGACATATGCGTTGAAAGTAGGGCTTTCGATTGCTGAGTTCATGACAGAAGTAGTGTGGTGATGTTTATACTTTGCTAAGTAGTGTGTGGTGTGGTGCTGCATAGTCAAAGGTGAACACCTTGTCTATAACAGTGATTCCTTTGTGAAGTGAGGAGATTTAGTTGAGATGGCGTCAACCAGAGATGGGAGTGACAATAAAACAGGTGTTATGATTTCTCCAGATTACTTAAATGTTCAAATGACATCTATTAAGTTGAATGGTGAGAACTATGTTCCGTGGGCCAACTTGGTGGAGGTGTTCTTAAAGGCCAAGAAAAAGGTAAAGCATGTGAGAGAGGAAAAACCTTCCTCTGATTCCCTAGGGTTCAGTGATTGGGAGTAGAAGGACGCTCAAATTATGACCTGATTGTGGAATAGCATGGAAGCTAAAATTAGTGTGAATTTTATGTTCCTAGATACAACCAAAGAAATCTGGAACCATGCTAAGAAACTTTATTCCGGCCAAGATAATACAACTAAGGTATATCAATTGTACCAGGAGTACTTTAACCTGAAGCAAGGCAACCAAAGCTTGGAAGAATACTATGCTAACATGAGAAATATCTAAAATGAGCTTAATGTATATCATTCTTTAACACCAGATGTTCAGGTTCAGCAACAACAGCGAGAGCAGCTTGATGTGACAAGGTTTCTGGTGGGTCTAAAGGCTAAATATGAACCTATTCGAGCACAAATACTGGGGGGGGGGGTCTACTCTTCCCTCACTTAGGAAATGTACATATTGTGGATTAGAGGGGCACACTGTTAATTTCTACTATGATTTACATGGTCCACCCAACACTTGGGCTAACCATGCTGTGAGTAGTGGCAATGGTACAATTAGTGAAAAACAGCAAACTGATCGAACTCCCTCCACATTTACTAGTGCTTCTGGAAAGGAGATGATGAGTGTACCACGTGAGGTAATATGAGAAGTTCCTTCAGACATCATCCACAACTACCCTTACCCATTCAAGTATGGCTTGCTTGGCTTCCAAGCCTTCACACTAGATCATTGACTCTAGAGCCTCGGATCATATGTCTGGGACTCCAAATGTATTTTCTTCACTTTCCTCGTCTTCCACATCCTAAACAATTACTCTTGCTAATGGTTCTACATCTTCCATTTGTGGTGTTGGTGATGTTGATCTTTCCTCCTTATCTTTATCATCTATTTTATATGTTCCCAAGTTCCCTTTTAACCTTATGTCTGTTAGTAGATTAATCAAGTCACTTAATTGTTCCATAACCTTTTATCCCTCTTCTTGTGTGTTTTAGGATCTCAAGATGGGGATGAAGATTGGTGGAGGGCATGAGGCAGGTAGATTGTATTACCTTAATGGTGGTGGCCCGCCAATAGCATTACAGTCATCTCTTACTCCTCTTCAATGGCACTACAAACTTGGTCATCCATCTCTCAAGGCCCTAAAGTTGTTGGTTCCGTCCTTAAGTCATCTTTCACTGTTGGATTGTGAGTCGTGTCAGCTTGGGAAACACCATAGAGTCTCTTTTAGTCCAAAAGTTGATAGTCCTGTCTCGAGTCCTTTTTCTTTAGTTCATTCTGATGTTTGGGGTCCAAATAAAGTAATGTCATACAATGGTTATAAGTATTTTGTAATTTTTGTTGATGACTTTTCAATGATGACATGGCTCTATCTTATGAAAGATCATAGTGAATTGTTCTCTATTTTTCAAAAATTTTATGTTGAAATATGTACCCAATTTGGAGTTCATATTAAAATCCTTTGCTTCGATAATGCAAAAGAGTACACCTCAACACCATTTCAGCAATACTTAGAGCACCATGGGATAATTCATCAAACTTCTTGTTCCTACACCCCAAAACAGAACGGTGTAGCTGAACGGAAGAATCGACACCTACTTGAAACTACTTGGTCCATGATGCTTAATATGAATGTCCCAAAGCGTTTTTGGAGTGATGCTATCTTAACATCATGTTTTCTCATAAATCGAATGCCATGTCCATCCTAGGAAGTCATTCCCCTTTCTTAGTTTTGTTTCCTACTTTGTCTCCGTTTCCTCTTACCCCTAGAGTTTTTGGGTGTGTTTGTTTCGTTCAAAATTTGGGACCTAGTTTAGACAAGTTAGATGCATGTGCTACTAAATGCATCTTCCTTTGATACTCCAGGACTCAAAAAGGGTATAAGTGCTATAACCCTAACTCTCATGTCATTTGTGTGTTCCGCTGTCACTTTCTTTGAATCAGTCCCATTTGTAGTTTAAGTTCCACTTCCTGTCCCAATTGAGGACCCCCTTCCTGTGCTTCCTGTTACAGTTGCGGATCCCTCTCCCGTGCCAATTACTACTGAGCAGCCACCAATTTGACAAGTGTATACTCACAGAAGAGCACCGGCCCCTCCTCCAATTCAGTCCTCATCGACAAATCCTGTGGTTGCACCTTCTCCCTCGGACCTTGATCTTCCTATTGCGTTGCGGAAAGGTAAACGTAGTTGTACATCTCATCCTATTTCACATTATGTTTCAGTTGCTCACCTTTCTGCTTCCTATCACCACTTTATATCCTTGCTATCCTCTATTTCCACTCCCAGAACTGTCCAGGAAGCCCTTACCTCTCCAAGGTGAAGACAAGCAATGGAAGAGGAATTGTCTGCTCTACAGCACAATCACACGTGGGAATTTACTACTCTCCCTCCCAGTAAGCATGTTGTTGGTGTAAGTGGGTCTACACAGTGAAGTATCTTCCAGATGGTAGTGTGGAACAATTAAAGGCCAGGTTAGTGGCCAAGGGCTATTCTCAGTTGAATGGTGTGGACTACATGGAAACATTTTCTCCTGTGGCTAAAATTGGCTCAATTCAGGTATTGATTTCCTTAGCAGCTATGTATGATTGGCCTCTCTTGCAGCTTGACATCAAGAATGCCTTCTTGCATGGTGATCTAATTGAGGAGGTATATATGGAGCAACCACCAGGGTTTGTTGCTCAGGGGGAGGATGGTAAGGTTTGTAGAGTTAAAAAGGCAATTTATGGACTGAAACAATCTCCACATGCGTGGTTTGGCAGATTCAATGAAGTAGTGAAGAACTTTGGGATGAAACTGTGTCAGGTAGATCATTCTATGTTCAGCCATGACTCAAAAGATGGGAAAGTCTTGCTAGT